ATTGCCTCTTATTCATTGAGACAAATGAAAACTGCCCAGCAACTTTACAAACATTCCCCATGGGAGAATGCCACTTCCAGTTTTTTTTTTTTTCTGCTTCTAAAATATTGGATTGCCACAGACTCAAGTATTCTCAGGGTAAAGATCATAACCAGACCAGAGCTCTTTTTTTTTATCCTGATAAATTCATTAATAAGATTCAAGTTCTGTTTGTCAGACATGGCCTTATCTGAYCATGTTGGCAATTCTCATTTTCATACCTCATGGCTCTTCATTGTACTGCGGTATTTCCTATTTACTTTACATTTCCTCCACATGAATCCTCAAGGGCATTTTCAAGCATCTGAGCCAGGAAAATGGATGGCTGACCTATGAGGCATGGCTCCCACTCATAGCAGCCTGCATCCTAGATGTGAAGGGACACGGGAGTAATTGCTATAGGACTTCAGAGGAGCAGGTTCAAAAGAAACAAAGTGTTTCAAGTGGGGAATTTAGAAAGTCATATTTATTGTTGGAGTTGGCTGGTTCAGGGGAGTATACCCTCTGGCCTTGCTCATATGGCATTTTTCTTCTTGGAACACCTCAGTATGATACTTCCTACAGAGTTCCTATAAGTCAATGGCTAAGACCTTGGCTCCAAGGTAGAGAGATCCCTAATGTCAAAAGTGTCACTTTCCATAGTGCGGTTGGGGAATCCAAAGAGGAGAGACATTAGCAGCTGAGACTTACGTCCCTTTACTGTTATCACAGTTGTTCCCTCTCATCTACAGTTCACCTTTCCAGTTTGTTACCTGTAGCCAACTGCAATCTGAAAATTCCAGAAATGAACAATTCAAAGTTGCAGATTTCTCACAGTTCTGAGTGGTTTGATAAACTCTCGAGCCATCCTCTCCCACCTGGAACATGAATCATCCCTTTGTTGAGCATGTAGCTACCCACCAGGTGGTCACTTGGTAGCCCTCTAGGTACCAGACTGCTGGAGTTTGTGTTCAAGAACCCTTTTGTAGTAAGCTAATGCTATGTCATGGTGCCGACATCCTTCACCTCACTTCCTCTCAGAAATATGAGGATCTCGCCGCCTCATCATCAAAAGAGTGAATATAGTACATTAAGGTATTTTGATGACAGACCACATTCACRTGACTTTCATTACAGTGTATTAATTGCTCTATTGTCATTAATCTCTATGCCTGCTTTATAAGTTCAACTCTCATAGGACATAGGCACAGAAAGAAAAAAAAAACTAGTATATATGGGGTTTGGTACTATTCATAATTGTAGGCATTCATAGTACCTCTCGGAACACACATCCCTGTGGAGAAGGGGACACTGCTGTATTACTCTTCTGTGGATTTCCAGATAAAGCCTCTTTTTCCTTCATAGCCTGTCATGACTTTCTTCCACTGATTCACAATGAGAAGAGGCAATGCTCTTTGGATTTTGCTGCTGATTGGCATAGCTAGTTTTCTCAGAGCTGCTGCTATTAGTTAAAATTAGGTTTGGGGATTTTTCTTGATCATTGTCTATTTTGTCTCCCACCCACTCTCCCTGGGGGATAATCAAGAATTGCCTATAAGCATTGTGTCTTCTCTTTTGCATACTTGCAGTTTACTGATTCTAACAGCCCATGCCTTTAATAATGCGGCTCACTGAAACAACAAAAAGAAAAAGCCGGGTCTAAAAATTGAATGAATTCCTAAAGTGGAATCCACAAGGAGGAATTTTTTAAAAAGAGAATGTACCCTTCTATCATGCCATTATACTATCATCTATGAGAGAATATTGCCAACTATTTGTAAGACTACTAACTGCAAAGTTCTGGAGTTTCTCAAAACATAGAATTAATGTGACATCTGGCACTACACTTTAAAAGGCAATTTGATGATATTGATTAAAATAATAAATATGCTGGCCTTCTGGAAAAAAAATAAAAAAAATAAAAATTGAATTGTTAGTCATTTCAGAGTTTAGAGCCACTCCACCTTGTTACTGAGATCAGAGAGGCTCCTTCACAGTTGCTATTATTTTGACTTTTTATTTCCTAAGCCAAACCAGAAATGCATTGAATCATGTAGGTGAGAGACTGGGGTAATCACAGAWTCCAGGGAAGATCTGTAAAACTGTGGGCTTCAGGTGAGCCTGCTCATTCTCCCTTGCCCCACCCCTCAGCGTGGGTTCTTTCCCTGTACCAGGTAACAACACCACAGTTGTTATAGAGCCTAACCTTGGACCCTCATGCTTATTTTGCTTATTGTGCACCAGGGAAGTCCTAATGTTTTGGGGACAGAGTGCTGTCATAACGCTGGCAAGCGCAATTTCTTTGCTCCTTTGACAAGAAGTTATTCCTCTGTTGGTGCAAGGTCAGCCTRTGTGGCAGTTTCTGAACTCTTGATGTCTGGACTTCCGTAGGATGATGTGTTGTATATCACCTCTGGCCWATCATGACTGTTAAGTGTAAATTGGCCCATACCCACCATAAAAGCCATTTTCACTACACAATAAAGCAGACRCTATTCTCTRAAACTGTCTTTGGAGGGGTTTCTCCATGTYCTCAAGCTGCCCACAGTCGATGCTGGAAGGACAGGCCCCTCAGCACATAGTCTTGCTTAGCAACCCCTTGGAAGACAGTCCCCCTCTCTTAGTACCTGTTGATTCTTTTTTCAATAATTATTCTTCTGTATAAAAGGAGAACCACTTTGAGATTAACCACACTACGACCACTCTATGAAGTTGACATTAATAAAGGAAAGATAATGCAGGGCCCTTGAATTCTCCTTCAAGGGCAACAGGTTTGGAGGAGACTGCCTGGGTTAAAACAGAGGGTCACTTTTGATTCACTGGGTCCCTGAGAAATAAAATGTGTTATCTTTGGCCCCTGTACCTGGAGGGAATTATTTGGATATACTATGCCAATTAAGATAGTCATGCTTTCTTGATTTATTATTTTGGTTTCTTTTTTCCTTGACTACTTCTCACCTTCTCATTGCTGCTAATTGATTCAGTAATCCTCAAAATATCCTCCTGTTTTAAAATACACAAACTGGTAGATTAATGTCTCTTTATTCTGAGAGGTGTAGATCACTGATAGTAAGCTGGTAACTTTCCCCTTCACTCATTTCAAATTTGTACATCATGTACTCATCTCTTATCTAATCTCTGGTCCACATTCATGGCCTCTTAGAGCAGAGAGAATGAATAGGGATCGGCTGGTCTGGAGTCTCCAAGCAAGATATGGCCACTGCACCGGAGAGCTTTGTACATCATGTCCAGGCAGACAGCTAAGTCTGCTGCACATTTTTTTTTCATGAAAAGAAAACATATGTTGTGCCCATAAGTGTGCTCTAAAGTGGTGTTGGAAGAGAAAACCCTGCGGGGACATACATGGTGACAGCTAGATMTGAGCATACACAGTCAACCCTGGGGTCCACAGGAGAGAAAAAGGAAGGGTCAGGAATTTGTTTCTCTAGATTGAGAGGACTCTGACCAAAGTACAGAATGGATACAGGTGACCTGTGGTGGTGTTGCCTGAGATTYGTGAACTTCCTGCTGGAGACTCACCTTCTAGGGGAGTCCTTTTTGCTGTCATATATTGCATACACTGCTGCCATTGTGTTGGCCAGAATTCTGTTTGTAATTATAGCATAGTTGAGGTTAAGATGCATGTAGAGGTTTCTGGAGGATATTCAGGAAATACCTTGTGACATTTGGTTCTCTTTTCTGTGTTGTGTTAAGCTAAGGTATTTGTTAGAAACTCTGGGGCCCTGTGTACACGGCTGTGGTGCTATATCTGATTTTCATTCTGAAAATACAGATGCACAGTTGTGCTGATGGGACTCGCGTGMTCCACACAGCACAGTGACCTCACGCTGGAGAGGCCACCGGAATAGTCAGTGATAAGGAATAAAGTCTTTGTTTGCTTTATGAAATCTCTGAGGAAAGATGAATAGCAGAGGGAGTACAATGAAGAGCTGGGAAGGATGTGGGGAATTCTTTATCATGATTGCTGGAAAGCATTCCCCAAGCCTTGAATACTTCAGGCACTGTGATCAGCCACCATGTTAGATGGTGTTGTGTGCTCTCAGTGGAACATGTGTCCTGTGCTTGATTTCAGCAGGAGAGTTGTCTCATATCGATTCTCCTGCACCTTTGTTTTGGGATTCCTCCTAATAATATATCAGGTTTACAGGGTGGGTGGCTGGCTTCCCAGAGTCGAGATCACTCTGACCTTGAGTTCTGATCACACTGATCTTGACATGAACCTATTTATATTGGTTTTTGTGGAGAGCACCTACAGGTTTATATGCAGAAGACATGAAGATRTTTCAATGACTGGAGGAGGTGCTACTGAGTCTTAACTAGAGCTATGGTTTGAATTTGGAATGCCTCCAAAGTTGTGTATTAAGCAATACAGTAACATCCAGAGTTAAAGTGATTGAATTTTGAGGACTTGACCTCATCAGTGGATTAATCCATTTGATGATGAAGCAATAATGAATGAACTAAGAAGTGGTAAAAACTGTAGGCAGGTAGAGCATGACTGGAGCAAATCAGTCACTGGGGGCATGACCCTGGGGACTGTATCTGTCCCTGAACACCCCTCCGATTTCACATATGCCTTGAGCTAAGCAACTTTCCTCCACCGCGATGTTTATGCCTTGGATCCAGCCAACCATAGCCTTAATCCTCTGAAACCATGAGCTAAAATAAATACTTGTTCCCCTAAATTGTTTTTGTCATGTATTTGGTCACAGTGATGAAAACTAACACAACTAGATTCCACACATGTATTATATGGGTCAGAAGAAGTCCATTATGGGAGGACAAAGGAACATTAATGATACATCACCTTCTTTCGTAAGACCAGAATATTGCAAGGATAGAAGTTTTAATATCCGTATCAATAACAACCTGGCATCCTGGGATGGTGTTAAGAGGGTGGTGTCTTAGCCATATTTCTTGCACCCTTATGATGAGGTGCCTTCTTGTCGTTGTCCTCGTAGGCTCGACACCTCTCCCCACAAGCTCGCCGTCGACTGCATGCTGCCCTTGCGTCTTGTGCCACCTCAATGCTGATCCTGTTCAACCTGGTGTTTCTTGGGGGMAATCAAGTTGGGAAAACCTACTGGGATAGGATCTTCATACAAGGTAAGTTGCCAGAGAGTGAGTGCTGTGTTCAGCCAATTTCTTGTTTTCTGTGTATGCAGTTGATAGCATGAATAGGATTTGGGAGTTATTTGTCATTACATTCATGGTATATGAAAAGTATCAGGAATAATTTCCCATGTTTAGATATGACTAAGTGTTTTCTATTTTTGATATACTTCATATCTACCACATGTGATAATTGACATCAAACTGTACTGCCCCAACTTTTTCAATTAATTTTTTTTCTTTCCTACTAAATCTAAGTCTCAGTATACAGTAAAATCTAACCTTGCTTCACTTACTGCTCTKAATGTCCTAGAGAAACATGTCCTAGAAGTCTCACTCTGCTCTCCTGAAGCTGTGAGTATGGTCCTTGTGTTTGTATATCTCTGTTTGTATGTGGTGCTGAGGATCGAACCCGGGCCGCACGCATGCCAGGCGAGCGTGCTACCACTTGAGCCACATCCCCAGCCCCTGTGTTTGTATATCTCTAACTTGTAGATGCTTTTGTCTGAACACTAGTGGCCAAGCTTACGTTTCATGTGCATTCTGTGGATTGTCTCATTATCCATAGCAATAGGTCAATTGCTAGTATGTGGGAGTTGTCAAAAGACTACAGTCATAACTTACCATTATTTATTTATGGTCACCATTTCCTTTGGCCTGGAACTAAGAGAGATACACAATGTCCTTAAGAGAATTGAAGTATTCTCAGTAAAATTTACTATAACCAAATTCATGATGGTTTAAAAGAAAAGATTCCCTGTTCTTTTTCTCTGACCAGTAGCATGGTGTTGTGTTGGGAGGTTTGGGGAAGCTTTGTCAAATTCTGGTGATGTGATTTTACAGGATGGCTTGTCATCTCTATATCTGGGTTCTTGAGGAGCCAGTGATGCTTTAGATGTAACTCTTTTTCTTTTTTTTTCTTTTTTGAATTTTTAAATAGTTTTTAGTTTTCGGTGGACTCTTGTACATCAAAAATAGCCCATACACAGCTGCATGATTCCAGGATGCCAGGTCATGAATCGTAACTGGGGAGCAGGCTCAAAGGGGCCAGGAAAGAATGCTGCTATAATCTCACACTAAAAATCTCCTCTTTGATCTGAGAGGTGTTTTATCTGATAGTTCCTGAAAAGACCATATGCTTTTTGACTAGGAGCTGTCCTTTCATAAGGATGGGAGATAATAAGGTGCAGAGGATCTAAAGATAAAAGCAATAAAGGAGAGGGAGAGTATCTTTTACTTTTCTTGCCATCCCCAATTGCAGAACCTTGCACAATGCTGAGAACACTGTGGTGCAGAGGGAAACCCTGACTTGGAGTTTTCTTGTCACCTAGTGAAAAGGCTCTGATTTTTCCTTCAGTGCATCAGACAYATTAGGTGTTGGTTATTTGCAAAGCACTGAGAGTACAGGGAGACAAAAAGAGGTGCACACATGTTGGGCCACACATGCAAATCAAAATGTGATAGTTGATTCTGGGTTCTGTTGTGACAAATGTATGAAGGGAAGTAATGGGAGGGGAGGAGATGTGGGAATAGGAAAGTTAGATAAATAATGTCTGTTTCTTTCTACTATGTGACTGCATGACCAATATGATTCTGAGTATGCAACATGTACACTCTGAAAATGAGAAATTATATCCCATCTATGTATGATATATCAGAGCATAAATGTGTTCTACYGTCAACTATAACTAAAATAAATTTTAAAAATTAAGAAAAAGACCGTTCTCAAATCTAAAAATTTTTTAAAAAAGGGATTGGAGATGTATCTTAGTGGTACAGCACCATTGGGTTTGATCTCTAGTACCTTAAAAAAAAAAAAAAGTTCGTGATGGGTAACAGAGAAAACTAATGATTGCGATGTGAGCATCAAGGGCATAAAGCTTGTAGGATCAGTGATCCAGGGAACATCATAGAGTGAGAAGACAACAGGGTWGGAGGCAAAGCTTCAGGCATGTTGGTGTTTAAGTAGACAGAGAGAGATGATAGCTAGGAGGTGTTCTTTCTGCTTCTCAGTGGTGGAAAGATCACAGCATGATTTGCTTGGCACCCTGTAGAGTTATGAGTCACAGGTTATCAAGGCTCTGAAAYATAGGATCTGCTACTGTGGTCTGGTCCCTCTGTGGTCTGATAGGATATACTATTTGCCTCCACCTCGGAAAAGTCTTGGGGTCTTGGAAACTCTGATTCTCCCATTATGGAGAATGTTGTGGAATCATTTTCTTTCCAGGTTCTGTGGCTAGGGAAGCTCAGCTTAGAAGCATTTACTGTGTCAGGAATTCTCCAAATGAACCTGTTTGGATTTCAGCTGGTCTGTCCCATGGGCCCCCCGAGTTGGGGAATGTTGGCTGGGTTTTGGCAGTTGCATTGTTTATTTCCTGCTGAGGATTCTTGCCTCTGAATGGCTGGGTTTAGATGTCTTTTGGAGGAAAGTGAATCAGATGGTGCCAAATTTCCCATCCTTGAAAACTTCAGATTTTATCTTATATTTAATTTTATTGACCCAATTGAAGATTGGTACAAAAAAAAAATGAGTCTATAGGATGCTTCCCCAGGCCCTGCTGGGAATGTTACTATATTGGCTTTCTAAAAATTAAACACAAAATCTGAATTCTGACATTCTTCTGACCATAAGGTTTCAGATGAGGGATTGTTTACCTATATAGGTAGCCTCTAATGAACGAGCTAGGACCTTGATAGCCTGGTAGCCTCTGGCCTCTCCCTTTGGGTACATGATCAGTTCCCATTGCTCCAAGACCCATCTCTCTACACACACAGTGAGTGAGTAAACCGGTCTGTAGTGAAGGGAGAGCATATAAGCTCAGTATATAATTTTCAAGGTTTAATAAAAGCAGGCCCTTCTCTCTGTGCCTTCGGGACTGGAACCTGCTACAGTGACGAGCTATTAGTGCTGCACCCCTTTTTTAGATCTCACCTATGGAGTCTGGGCAGAGCCRGGAAGAGACAGGCTGGTGTCTGGGCAATGGGGATTATTGAGGAGATTTGCAAATGTCTCCTAGTTGATGGTACAGGGCTCCACATAGAGATGCTCACTAATTCCCAGGAAGTCATTTCCCAGCTTTATGGATGTTCCTAGAAGATGTATCATGGTTTGCTGAGGGAGTTGTCTTGGTCTCCAGTTCACTGAATTTGGCCATAGATTTACTTGCTTTAGGCTTTAAAGTTTATAATATTATATACTATATTATATAATATAYAAAGTTTACTAGAGTGCCTTCATAAAAATCTTTATCTCTGTGGGTGACATGGATGGTGGATAGAAGACTTCTAAACCAGACCCTTTCCTTTCTACTATGTACCTGCACTGCTCTCCCCAAGAGTAGAAGGCAGCAATTCTGAGCTGTAAATCTTGGGTTCTAGTATGTGTTATACATATAGTATTTTTTTAAAAAATTAAATTTATATATGACAGCAGAATGCATTACAATTCTTATATATAGAGCACAATTTTTCATATCTCTGGTTGTATACATAGTATATTCACACCAATTCATGTCTTCGTACATGTACTTTGGATAATAATGATCATCACATTCCACCATCATTAATAACCCCATGACCCCTCCCTTCCCCTCCAACCCTTCTGCCCTATCTAGAGTTCATCTAGTCCTCCCATGCTCCCTCTCCGTATCCCACTATGAATCAGCCTTCTTATGTCAGAAAACATTTGGCATTTGGTTATTTGGGATTGGCTAACTTCACTTAGCATTATCTTCTATAACTCTATCCACTTACCTGCAAATGCCATGATTTTATTCTCTTTTATTGGTGAGTAATATTCCATTGTGTATATATGTCCCATTTTTTTAAATTCATTCATCTATTGAAGGGCATCTAGGTTGGTTCCACAGTTTAGCAATTGTGAATTGTGCTGCTATAAACACTGATGTGGCTGTGTCCCTGTAGTAACACACATAGCACTTTATCAATAAGCATAACTTCTGAAGTTGGAGAAGTGATGTTCAGTTAATTCAGCAGAATATAAGGAGTCAGTATTTTTGCTTTTGAAAAATCTCCAATTTTTTACTGTTGAAATATGCTTCTAGCTGCTTGAGAAATTTTCATGGATCTGAGAAGGATGTAGCTGGGGATTGCTTCACCTGCTCACTCTAGGAAACTGCTGTCATGCTTTGCAGACAAGTGCAAGGTGTTACTTACATAATGCTTTGTCTTTAAAAAGATGGGAAAATCTTTCTTCTGACTACCTTACACCTTGACAATGAAGTCTAAGTTAATTTTTTCAACAAGAAGTTGAATACAGCTCTGTAATTCAAAGGGAACCATAAGTTGTAACCCCTAGATTGACAAGGGCTAGTCCCTACAATCCACCTGTGGCCCCAGCTATCCTTATGGTGCTCTCTAGAGACCTAGAGTGGTGGGGAGGAAAGAGATTCAAGGGGGGTGGTTATATTATTGGAACTGTATCTGTCTTTGAGAGGGATAAGGGCTCTGTGTTTGGGCGCAGGATGGTGTTCCTTCTGAAAACTGTCTGCTTTGGTCTAGGAAAGGCATTGACTTTGTAGCAAAGGACCTAAAATGTCTCATAAGAGTTGGGGCCTCAGCTCCTGCATCTAAGATTTTACATTGGTAGGAACTTAGTAGACACACAGCATCCACCAAACATTCTGATCAACTCCTCCTTGTGCACGCATGTATACCTGTACATGTTCACACACATGCTGGTTTTCTCTCATTACCTGTTCTAGTTTGACAAACCCATCTCCACACTTATCTTCCACAGCGGCCCCTTGCCAAGGCAAGGAGTATTTGTTTTTTTTTTCCTCCAGATTGCAATGAGAGAGGAGCTAGTCATTTTTTATGCAGGTCAGAACCTTAACCCTCCTCATATTTGCTTCTATTTCTAGCTGAGCGAGAAGAAAATATCTTTTCTCCCTGATTACCAGCTTGTCCAGACAGTTTATTTGTCTCTTGACTCAAATGGTTGTGGACAGGCTTTTTATTTAAAGCTGAGCTGG